ATCTATCCCGAATCTTATGTTTAAGTAACAAACCTTCCTTTTTTATTCAAATATCTCCAATTTCTTAGGAGATTTTTTATCCCCTAAAGACAAGTTGAAGTATAGAAAATTCCAAGTAATGAAATGTCACATATCTCAGGCTATAAATAGCTGTGTAGAGAGCATCTCCTTACCTTATATCAAGTAAAATTGTATTCATTTTCTAGTATCACTCTCTAGATCCTTTGTTTTCCAAGAAATCTCCCAAAGGTCTGTTCAGAAATTGATCATCATAATCTTTATTTTTTCTCACTACTTCACCATTTCGTGTTTATTGTAAACTTTTGGATGATCATAATGATGATCTCTGCCTTCTTTTTTACTCGTGTAAACAAAACCATCGTTAGTTTTCGATTCATTTGGTTGTTTTAGTTTCAAAGTCATGATTAACTATTTCAATTTTGATCACATTAACGCATGATTGTTGGTATAATAAAGTCGGAAATCTCTCGACCAGTTTCTAGTATTTTCTTAAGTTTCTCGTTGTGTGACCAATTCGAAAATCATATAATTTTCACAGTACATAACGTTATCCGATCTAAATTCTGCTTTTTCTGTTATTAGAGCGAATAGAAATGTCGACCGAGTCGTACGAAGACGCCCTTAAAAGACTCGGAGAGCTTCTAAGGTACACACACTCTTTTTCTCTCACAATCATTCAGATCCGATACTTTTGGACTTGGCCGGTTCTCGGCTGATCATTGCCATCGGATCATCTAGCCACATATATCGTACCTAGTCGTACTCTGTGATTAATTGTCTATATATATAGATAATCATTAGCCTCCAAAACTCTTTTTAATATGAATTGGTAAATATTTGTAGTACGAAATCAGATATTGGGAACGTCGCGGCCGCAAAGATCAAGAAGTTAACGAGTGAGCTAGAGGAACTTGATTCCAGCAAGTCAGATGCCGTCGAACGAATCAAATCCGGATTTATCCATTTCAAGACTAATAATTTTGAGTACGTTATATTCTTATTCCGTATGGATCCGTCCATTTCAATACTTTTCGCTATGGATAAAAAGCCACCTTTATTTCTCCCCCAACTCATATAATAATAGTGCTTATAAAGTTGAATGAACTTGTTGAATCTAGCTACGTAATCAAAAATGCATGAGACAGAAAAAGGGTTCTTTTCTAATTTGGTGATCATGGATTGTTTTTTTGATAAAAATGTCTTGGTCAAATAAAGCTTGAGTTTTGAATATGGTGTTTGTTCATTGTATTATTGGTTTCATCAATTTCTAGGAAGAATCCATCTTTGTACAATGAACTTGCCAAGAGCCAAAGCCCCAAGGTTTGACTCTACCAATCATTTCATTCTCTCTTTTTTTATCATGTTTTATGTTTTTTTTTTACCAACATGTTGTATACGAATTTGAATACCAATGTTAACACGAGAATATACTAACACAAACCACATATCGTGGTCGTCAATCACATTATTTTTTTTACTTTTCTCGTTTGACTTGTCTCTAATTTGGTTAAAAAAGGGTATGAAACAGGGAAAGGCTTTTAAATTTAAACCACTAAAATGAGAAACGAGGTTTACAACTACTTGAAAGAAAACTGTTTACTCAATTTGATTTTTTTTTTCTTATGCAGTTTCTAGTGTTTGCTTGTGCGGATTCCCGAGTTTGCCCTTCTCACATCTTAAATTTCCAACCTGGGGAAGCGTTTATCGTTAGAAACATTGCAAACATGGTGCCACCTTATGACAAGGTTCGTCCTAACAAAAATAAAATAAAACAGTCCATCTTTTTTCTTCATATCACTCTAATCACGTTTTACATAACCATCACAAATTGTTGTCAGTGATTAAACACGTAACTAATATAAGCTTTGTCTTTCGAAACTTGCAGACGAAACACTGTAATGTTGGTGCCGCACTTGAATATCCAATTACAGTCCTCAACGTAAGTAACAATTAATTTTTTGCCCTCTTCATATTAAGTATCTATGATCGATCCTTTTAGAGTTGCTTCTTGGAGATGTTTCACTTGTCTTATCTACGAATATGGTCATTATCAGGTGGAGAACATTCTGGTGATTGGTCACAGTTGTTGCGGTGGAATTAAGGGACTCATGGCCATTGAAGATGATGCAGCTCCCACAAAGAGGTACTAATTGAATCAGTATCCTGTAGTTACATGATTAACCATGAGACAGTTCTTGGTGATTGGTTCACTTAACTTAATCACTACAAGAAAACAGGCAGTATACCGACGGAATTTCCGACCGAAGTTATATCCGTCGGAAATTTCCGACGTATTTCCGACG